TGTGCTGTCGTGTGAGTATTGTAACGCCCTAAATGACCAGACTTTGGCCTTCATCAGTCTAAATTTACACCTTATGGACGACATTTTGTTCACCCAAAATATTTTCCAAAACACCCTGAAATTCAGAAGCGAAAGTTTCATGGTTTAAATATCATAAACATGAAACGGTAAACTATCTATTATTTGTAGTAACGCAATGCAGTAGCCGTAAAGCCGAACCCTAAATAATTGTGAAGGACGAACCCTCGTCTAAACGGAATTGAATTAGGATGACTTTTAGTCAATCAGTATGCTTTATCTGATGCTATCACGCCATAAAGCATGATTGCGTTGTTGCCGAAGCTTTTATACTACAAGCACAATCCTCGGAGTCAAATGATATTACAACGCACTTGGGTCAAATTATCTCGGCAATATATGTGCCACTGATTGATCCTATATATTATGAGCATCAGCCTTGCAGCCGTGTGGCCTTACAACCCACTTGTGTCCTATTACGTTGACACCAAATGTGTCACAGATGGAGCCTATATACAACGAGGGCGAGCCATGTAGCCGTGTGCGATGACAATACACCTGGGTCCTATTACACTAGCAGGCAAGGTGCCGCCAGTCCATTTGATTGTTAACAATGCTTTAATCCCAAATGATCTCAGAAACCGCAATAACAACGGTGCATTTTATTTAACCGAAAGCAGCGAGAAAAGGTTCAGCGTAGTCCAGTATATTCCTGCCTTGGACGTGCATGTCCCATGTATAGTATCATTACACAACGTCGTATTCATCGGCTGAAATATAAAAGTAGTGCCAACGTATAGCTTACTGTCGGATAACTGAATGCGAGTTTTTATCTAAACAAGTTATTTCATTCTCAGCGTATCCTTCACGAAGCTAGCACCTATGTCGACGCTATAATAAAGTGAAAATGGGAGTTTCAATTGCACAGAATAACTTACTTTGGCGCCCATTCTGAATAATACCTCCGGATGAGAGGAACTTGACGGCTCCCTTTCGACAATCTATCGATGATAGGTAAGGAAAAAGATCACCAGTACCAAATGCACGTGCAATACGTTGGGTTACGGTTTGTTGACTTGTATTCGGATCGGCGGTAATCTCATCACTGAAGGAACGCATCGTTTGTCAAACGGCGATTGATGGGGTGTCTCTCAAAACGAAAGCGGTTAACTGGGTGTTTGTGAGACAGATCGAAGGTTGTGACTTTCAGCTAGCCTCCCGTTCTAAGGAGTTTAACGCGAGCTTTGCAGTTAGTATCCCTTTAGCTGAAAGATTTAGAATAATAGAAGCAAAATCCTGCTAAACACGTCTCCTTCCTATACTTGTTGACTTGCGACGTGCGCAGCGGACGCATCGATAAATGATCCTGTCGCACTTCATCCGTGTTGCTTCACAATTTCTGCTGCTACAGCATCCAAATTCATATAATGCAGAAGCGAAAAGTCTGAAAACAAACTATTAAACTTATCAAATCTTTCAAAAGAACACCCAAGGAAGCTGCTCCGGAAATCAGACTCCAAGGCGTACGGATTCGAAAATACTGTTGGTGTTGCGTATCTGGTTTCCGACACATTTAAACAAATGCAAAATCATATTTACACAGAATTGAATAAAACTGCGAAGGCAGAAAGATAGCCGGGAGTCAAACCATAAAATGACACTAAACTATTTATTGCGCACTAGGTTTTGCGGGGTAACGGTACTGCGACTACGTCGCAGCATGTCTCGCTCAGCCGAAGGGAAAACGGTTTCACCGTGGCTGCGATTAGCCTTACTGAAAGCTGATCGTAAAGTGGTATTGGCAATGGCGCGTTGTTATTCCATTTGTGGCAATTGGCAGTGTTTCAGGACGTGGTGGGTTTTCACCTGGCAAGCGGTATCCTTTTAAAATGCCACACATGTTTGATTAAAAACGCTGCGACGAGGCAGATGTGGCACGCCACCAAAATAAAGTCCCCACCCAAGGTTAAGTACTGAAAAGATCCCACTAACTGAAACCTGTGTACACCATGGCATAAAAACCATAACTTACCATTTGGTCAAACAAATTTTCTCAAGCATTCTGTCAAGTTCATACGCACGCGGCATAATTGAAATAACTCTCCTGAAACATTTGAACTCCCAGCCAGCATTTCTGTAATGGAAACTCTTATATCGTTTTATTGCTTCCTGCCACGCATCTACCTGACTCCACTGGTCTAGTCCGTTATCCTTGTGACTCTCTTTTATGACTACTACTTACCACTTATTCAACCGTGTATTTTGCGAATAATTATCTATCTTCGTATGGTGTATATACGTCCTATTTGTTTCTGTGGCCCTGAAAATCACTTGATCAAGACTGTATGGGTGTGCCGTCCTTCATCTAGACTAAAACTCTTAATTCATTTAGTTAATCTCGGAGCCTTATCAAGGTCCTCCGCATTGCTTCAGAACCCTTAGGTTATTCACCACATTCTATAGCTTCTGGCCATTGGTCAACAGTATCGATTATACCTCAAACTCCTGGAGTGGGTCATTGCTAAAAGAAACGAAAAGCAAATACTCGCCTTTATTTGACATATCATATACCATTTACCACGCAACCCAATTCGCATACCACTTCCGCAAGTTAATTGCGCCTAACGATACTCGCTAAAATGGGTACTTTTGTTGGGCGGAGCCTGGGATACTAGTCGGTAAGCAATGAAACGTAAGACGTGTCAAATACGACAGTATAGAAGTCGGATACGTCTGAACCCAACGTATATTGTACAGGCTACAAGAATACGAAGCGAATCAGACAGAGCGAGGAACGTTCAGCGAGGCAATCACCAACACGGTTTGTGTCCACAGATGTGCGGTCACTAAAACAAATGGACGTTTCGAAGGTTAAAACAACCATAAAATCCAATGTTACAAGATACTGAAAGAGCACGTTTTCCGGTGCACTACAATTTCTTACCATGCTTCGGGTCATTGTACTTCGCTCTCGGCAAGTTATCTTAGAAGGATGAGCACCAGCACACAATTTGAAACTTCCCCACGTCTTGCTGCGTATCATTATTATGACGATACAAATATTAACGCTATGACTGAATAATTTTCCCATCAGTCAACATGGGGCTCCCTCAAGTTCGCAGGTGTAAAAAGCCTGGAATATGGGCGCGGTGATTTGGTCGGTAAGAGGTGCTGTCATGAGCTTGAGTTACAGTTCACCTCTTCTGAATACAACGCCAAGAATCTAGTAACTGTTGATGTAGAAGGTGACCCTATATCCAAAGTAATGGTTAGGGTTATAGTTTTACTAAGGCACTAACCATACTGCTTCCTCATTTGTGCAAGTAATTTTGCCGACAACGTAAATAATGTTTTGCAACAACAGCTTAACTGCAAAAGGGCTTAAAACAACCTTTTGCGGATATACCTGCCAGGGATGATAACAACTATTAACTTATTTGTGATTTCATCTATACATCTGAAAATAGATATCGGGAGATTACGTTTATACCATCCGGGCCTTTTAGCAGCCGTTAACATGGCGACGGGCGATCAAAGGTTTTAGCGGAGAATTACTTTACTCCGCGAACTTCGGAGTGCGTGCAGTAGCTCAGGGGACGGCGAGCATTCAAACATAAATTCACCTAACACAGGTTTCCGCTTACGAAAACGTATATAGGCGACATTTTGCCATAAGTGACTACTAAATATCAAGTTAAACCACATAAACCAGAGGGTGCGGGGCATTAAGTGCTTGTTCAGTTTGTGCTGGTTTGCTACTGTCTTACAGACACCAAACTTAAGAAAAGTAGCAAGCAAAGAAATATGTTAGGCAATGTTGTGTAAACGTATAACGTGGTGTTCCCTTCCAACCTAAAATAAAGTGCAAGCGCAACGTTGGAATGCAGAGCGGCCTTCCTATATAGGTTCAAGTGTATAACCATATAAAAGTCTTAATTTTTGTATGCCATCCTTGTGCAATGGCCATCACAGTGTTTACTGTATCGTTTCAACTTTAGTATATGTACAGCCGAATTGACTATAAAAGGCTGCACAGCCAGGATCGGAAACCGCCGCAAGGCTGACAAACCGGTACGAGACCACTAGGCTGTATTCGGGTTATACCTGCCAATTATAAATTAGCTGTAAAAGCTGTATTGACTTGTAGGTTTCTCGCACGATTTTGTAGGTTATGCCCAAGTTAAGTAAAATTATATTTTCCTTATGTATTATAGAAATCGGCGGTTTGCCTGTTCGACTATTGCGCACGTTTGTTTGACGCACACAGGCAAAGCGGGCATCAGTTTTGTGTCTAAGGGAACGCGACCCGCGGCCTGGCGTTCGTCCACGCACTCGGCACACATCCAATGCCACCTTTGCTAGCTCTCCTCTGGTGCCCTAGATTTAGTTTTAGCTACTTAAGCGACAGCGCAGGAAAGCTTTTCTGGCTTGTTATGATGTGTTCTCCCGTTTGCACTAGGTTGGTCGTTTAGCAGCGAAGCAGATATATCACTCCCGATCGACATGCTATAAATCGTCCGTCAATGCAACGATGGCAAAAAGCGAAGTGCTCCTCAATAATATTTAAAGTATTAATAGGTAAGCATATCTGTTTAACACAATTTCAAACATTACTTTACCCATAGAAGCATTGTCAACAGGCATAAAATTGCCTTCACCCTTTAAAGCAATTAAAACCACCAACTAGAGCGTATCTAAATCCAACAAAACCACTATACATAATAAATTGAGCTACACGCTTATTAAAACCGGTGTATCACCACACAACCCAATTTATGCGCTCGCAAACCCCGTGCGTCTGACACTCCGACAGAGGAGCAAAAGCTACCGTTGGCAAACCCAGCTTTGCTCATGAAATAATTCCTGATTTAATATGCCTTGCTATGTTCGTCATTGAAATCTTCTACTGTTTAGGAATCTTGAAACTAAATGACACCGCCCAGCCATTTTGTTGTTATTTTTTACCATGATTAGTAAAACATAAACAAGCCGCGATGAGCAAACCTATTTTTAGTTTCCGCGATAGCGTTAAAGTGCGTTAAGATAATTTGGCCACTACTGTTCCACTAGTTAAAGCGCATATTTGTGATTGCTTGTTCTTTCCGTTAAAACCATGCAATGGGAATTCGTATTAGTCTTTGTTGGGATTACAATTCAGGGGATCTGTTAGCATTGGAGTGCGTACAGCAGTCGCATAAAAAGAAAATAAACATTATAGGTAGAACACAGTTGTCCACTCGTGACACTACACACTTAAATCTTTTAGTAACAACATCGGCCTTCATTCAATAGTCATTTTCTTTTAATTAGACAGCAGCTAAGTACTTGTTTGACATGAGTATGGCCATCCTAATGTAAAACATTCTACTCACACATAGATTAATTAAATCGTCTTCCGCACCTTATTCTGTAGTTTAGGGCATTTATTTTATTTATGTACGACGGTAGTGCAAGTAGCAAGTTTGTGTACACTGAAAGGTTTCTCAGTTTCCTGACCATAGGAGCAGGAAGCAGCTATTTAGGCACACATCATATATTCGCTCATAATTATAAGAAACGCATTGCCTATACACTTATTTAGCAAAAGCTAGGCATGTACGACGGCATTTATGTTATTTTGCTGATAAAACCACGTACTGCTAAAATATTTTTCAGTTTTTCTAGTTATTTGTTTTTGTATTTTACCTTCAAATTGTTGACAGTTCATTATTATCTGTTTTCTTAATTTGAATATAAAAGCTGTTTTGTTAATGGGCATATTAGTTGACGTGTCTTCTACTTGCAGTTAACGTGTATACTTATGCTGCTTGTTTAACATGTGGCTTTAACTAATATCTTAACGGGCTTTTAACAACATTTTTGGTTGCACAACTGCTGTCAGGAAATATTTACATATAATACTTTGTGTATGTGTAATGTAAAACACAGCTTATCCTTTCGGTGTGACGGCAGCTGCATGCGGTATTACTACTTAGTAGTTAAATTAATAATGCATCAGAAAGGAAATTCATGATGATTCCATAGGTACCCCTCCGCTTTTTGGTATAATTTTCTGGCAAGGAAGGTGAGATTGTAGGTACTTTACTGACGCAAATACTCAGTTCTTCCACCGGTAAGAAAATGTATTTACTTGTGCGCAGTGTTTTTTCGATAGCGATTATTTAGGCTGGTTTTTATTGGGACAAACCTAATCTGTTGTGACAAACTGTTGCCAAATTTTAATCAAAATGTGTGCGTCACTTGTTTACGATCCTTGCAAAGTCCTGCCACATCACGTGTCTTGGCACTTCGCCCAATCGCTAAATGACAGCATCAGGACATTGGCTAATTACTACTATTACCGCAGAAACATTGGGTAAATTGTGTGCTTTAAATTCCTACCTTTGCCAAGGAACGTTTGCCAAGGACAATTAGTATTCTATGAGAGGGCCATGCGGCAGCTATTAAGATAAATCTCGCATCGTAAAGTACGAATTTCATTCACGACGTGACTTTTTGACTGCATTGATTTAGTCTTCCGGTCAGGTTTTAACTAGAACGTGCAGTCAGTTTCTACGCCGTAATCTAGCTGCTCAGGCAGGGCTGTACTGGACGGCAATTATGCTCCGCAGGGCTTTACAAAATTCCATAAAGCTTCAAATGTTTGCCAGACCAGCCTCTGTATTATGCGACTTCGGGCTTTAGAATACGTACAAAAGGCTGTGTATGCTGGCGCCTTGATTAGCATGTTTAATACGGTAACTAGTGGGTGTCAACACTAGGTAAAATGCAACTAAAACGCTACCAATATCTGGCCGTTCACCTATACATTTTTCTGAGTATCTATAGTATTGCTTACCTTTAACCGGTGGTTTCTTTGAAACTATTCCTATGCTAAATTTGTTTGATTATTGAATTAATATATTTACATACAAATATATACTTCATTGGCGGCTTCTGTTTCCGATTGCAAACGTCACGGCTGCATTCATAAGACGAAGACATAATGTAGTAGTCTACAGATTATGGTTTATGTTAAACCACCCAAAACTCCATCCACACACCCAGTACCCGATGTAAAAACAAAATGATAAGATCACAAAGCATGCAGGTGGAAGTCATCTTTTATCGGCTTAGTAAGTCCACACTATTACAAAATGCACATTAGTTTTCTGTCCACCTAGTTTGGAAAGCATAATTAGTAGACTTAAACAAAGCGCGACTGGTTCGTAGCCCTTACTATACTAAATAGGACCGCCCCTTGAGCCTAGCACAGTCACGCGGACCGTGCTCTGCTTCTTCTCATGCATCAGACAACTATCTTTAGTAGGCGGTAAACCAGTTTTATGCGATTAGGCAGGTAAGCATCATGTCAGTATTTAGATCAAAAGCTGCTACATCGGGAAACTCAAAAAACCAATCAAAACTTGAGGGAGATGAACACGCAAAATTAACGCAGAATATGCAGCAGCATAACAGAACTAAGGAAAGTAATTAAAGTGGAATACCCTTTATTCATGTTAGTCAAAATTCTAGCCTGTGTAGTGCAGTCGCGCTAAAGAAGCATTATGTACGCAACCTTAGCCTCAGAACAAGGCATTACATATATATATATATATATATATATATATATATATATATATATATATGATTGATGGCATCCAGTTCCAGAGTCGCCTGTCATTGTGGCCAGCCCCATTATGCCTGCTCCTACAAAGAGTCGATGGGTGGCTTACGCTACATCACCCATAGCTCCATCCATACACCTTATATCCTATGTAAACTCGAAAGAATAAGGCCGGGAGGCGTGTGGAAGAGAGCCACTTTTAATCAACAAAGCCGGCCCGCACTCTTTCACAGAGAAGCAAGAACACGCTGTATTTGGGTACCAAGCGCACACAAGGCGGTGGCTGGACCGCAGTCCGCTCCAAGCTGAGTGCATGGAACCACTCTTCGAGCCTAATACGGGCACAAGGACCGTGCACTCCACCCTTCCAGCCAAATCAACTGTCACGTAGAGTCACTATGGAGGAGGTAAGTCGACTGGCCAGCACCTACTCGAGTTGAATATCAAGCGCATCCACACCGGTGATATCAAGCAACAGCCAATCACTTGAAGCGACAAAATAAAATAAACTAACTCGGATAATGCATGAAGAAACGGAGACATAAATTTTAAATTAAAAGGCATATAAAAAATGCTTACGATCGAATTCGAAAAAAGTTTAAGAGAACAGAAGACATTTGTTAAGGCAATGCCACGTAAGAAAAAAGGTTATCGAAATTAACCATAATTAGCTTCAGAAACTTGTTCAAGTTTATAGAAGATAGTACAGGGAGACAATAATATATATGAAAGAAAATCATTAGGACAACATTGCAAACCAACCTCCTGAAACAAAGAGAATTAGCAAGCAAGCACGCCGTTGGTAACTCAAATTCAGCGTACGTACAAACGCTGCTTCGGTTCTGTCTACGTTCTCTTCAGTGGTGGTCCCGAGTGGCTACGCTCAGGGCTCACTAGGCCTGCGTGACTCTTGCGCTCGCGGCCGCATTTGCTACAGCACCATGTGTTCAATGTCGATGAAGTAAAATCCATCGGCGTTTGCCGCTTTCGCACTTTCTCCTTCTTCTCTGCAGTTATGAGATCCTTTTCCCGCACTTCACCAACCGCCTTCGTGATCAGACCGCGCCATTCAAGGCGATCAACAGACTTCCATTCCCATGACCAGAAACCAAGGGTAGAACGTGAAAGGCTCATTCTGAGCATGTCTTAGTAACCTAAGTTTGGTTTTCCTACATTCCGCTTCTCAGTACTCAGCTGACTGTATAAGAATTGTTTTGGGATCCGCGTCGAATCCATACGACTCACATGGCTGAGCCACCGCAGGTCTCTCAGCAAAATTATGCACACCACACACTATACACGTTAGCTGGAGGTGGGAAACACCTTAGCTACTGTGCCGCAATAGTTAAAAGAAAAAAGAGAATGAAATGCAACAGATGCATACAAACTGAGCTGCCGGTAACGTATAAGCTTCTTTCTGGTAAGTTACTAGCCGGCTACTACGCAGCAGACAAAAATAATTTACTACGCAAAAGTATAAACTGTTAAACAATGAGATCATAGTTGGTGGGGGAGTCTAATAATGATGGGGTAGGATAAAACGCTCACAGTACGAACGCCACTGAGGTCTATTCCTAGACATATCAACAAGTGTAGTTAGCCAAAATTCATCCTCATCTTTTGGACTCCAACCAGGGAGCCGAGACGTTCCAAATGAGACCAGCTTCGAAGAAAGGGCATTCATTCCTCCCAGGAAGTCATCGCTCTACTACCTCTCCTCTTCTTCCATCCACACACTTGGCGCGCAAACAACACACGTCGCGGAAGTCTTTGGGCTGGCATGCGTAACAAGTGGCCGAGCCATCGGAGCCTGGTGTATAAAATAACGGTGCTGAGCAGTTCATTTCCTTTTCTTGTGCCGTAAACAAGGCGTCGAACACACCCGTTGCTTAATCGGTGTTCCCACCAGATGTGAGCTAAATTGCGAAGGCACCGGTGGTCGAAAGTAACTTGCCTCTTCATGTCCACTGATCTAAGGGGCCGGATTTCACAACCGTACAGTATGGTCAAACGTTCCGTTACATTGCACAACCTACCCTTCAGGGAGACAGTGATGACACTCCTGCGCCATAAATGGAGAAGGTTAGCGCCTCGAGCTTTTGCTATGCGGTTTGTGATCTCATCTTCAATCCCACGGGCGCCGTTGCAACTTCCCAGGAAGTTGAATTTTTGAACAACTTCTAGCTGATCGCTACCAAGGGTATGCGAAGTATGCGGTCCAAGCCAAACGTGGACTAAAGCTTTGCATTTGGATGGTGCAAAGCAAAGCCCGAAGCGGCTGACAGTCAACGTATGCAGTCCACTGCATACATATCACTTCGACGCACCATTTCCGTGTCCGCAACTCGGCCATCAAATCCGATACGCAGAATCTGCTGCAAACACTGTTGATGGAACCGCTCGAGGTACCACACATCCCGCCGGTAC